TGCGAAGCCTTTAACTAAGACACACGGAACGTGCAAATCATGCGCCGTGCAACACTCGAAAGATCGCGCTACATGTGCAACTTGCGGCCGAATTAGCGCTAAATGCCGCTGGGAGAAACATTGTACTTGATGTCGCCAATTTTACATGGTGAACGCACCCAGTGGTAACAGCACTTTCATAATTTGAACAATCAATAAGCACAGTATTGCAGGCAAAGCTAAAGAGTGCGTTTGTGCCTCTTTATTAGTTGGCGATGAAATCATGCTTTTCCAGTAAGACACAGGCGCTACCACAAAAATAATACCCGCAATTCGGCGTACAGGACTTCCCATTGACCCTACAAATAATTCTACGTATGTAGAATGGATCCAAGTTTCATCTGAAGAGCCTCATCACAATCAAAGTGATCAATCACATCGGTTGGAATTGATGGTCATGTACGTAGGGCTCACACCGATTCCCGGGTCACATCGCAGTCGTGATGGTCTGTAATCGTCCCCATGGCACATTGACATTAGCTGCTTGCATGCAGTGCTAGCCACTAGTGGGCAGAATTTGGATCCTCTGCAGGGAACTGAGAGAATGCACTCCATCGACCAGTACAAATAGGGCAAACCGATCGCCTGGTGACTTTCCAAATTAGTAGAGCACCTTGGCTGTTTGTAAGCCAATGATTATGAACCAAATTCAATATATCCAATGTCTTGGCTTTATGCATTTTAACCATGAACATTTCGTGCTTGTGTGTGAAGTGAAAACATATATTAGCCTACAGTATTCTTTCTTGCTTATCCCAAGTTACGGAAGGTTTGAATATTCCGCTCATTTGCCAATGGCTGTGATACCGGAACGAAGAGTTCCGTTTGCTTTATTTGACTGGATTGCCACCGCATTAACTAATGTGATTCAGATAAACCTCGTCACTGTAGTGGAGGAGCAGACAGACTTGGCTAGGCAAGTTGTTATTTTTACGCAAATGCGCGGTTTTTGCGGTAATGCATATATTCAATATTACAAGATTGTCGCTGCGTTTGGTTAAATTAAATTACTTTCGTCGGAGTTTTATTAAGTGGTTCTAGACGAAGGTTTTATTTCCCTAACGACGTTCGCCACAACCTCCGGACATTTGGATGGCAAAGTTTGCGGTGTGGATTTAAAGTTTGGAGTGAAAGTTTTCAGAAACGGTTAGTGCAATCTGTTGGGGAGCTTGTAGTTGTAAAATATTTGACAGACGATATGCTGATTTCCACCTCAGCAGAAAAGAAACACGACGCCAAATTGGCAAGTATGCAGTGGACTATAATATACTTCTTCTGAGGCACCTGAGTTGACTGGAATATGTCTGCCGTGCAGCTCTGACCAGCTGCGTGATGGGAAGCACGGTGTGGGAAAACCGACGTTACGCTGCCATGACATGTTCGATTTTGGTTTATCACAAATTAACGTTGCATTCAGGAGTTGGGAAGTGATGGGCTGAATGGGCGCCAGTGGCAAGTGCACATCAGGAGGGCGGTTATGCGGATACATTAGAATGCACCGCTCCATCGGAACTGTCGGAATTGCTAGATTTCTCGCCGACCAGTGATTGTCCTGCTCCGTGGGCTGTTCCTTTGCATCTACCCTCTCGCTCAGAAGTCGAACATGATATCAAACTGTTGAAGTTAAATAAAGCCGCGGGACCTGATGACCTTTCTCCAGCCCTCTTCAAATTCGGGGGACCTGCTCTTGTCGATGATTTACACGAGGTACTAGTGAAACTATGGGAGCAGGAAACCGTCCCAACCGATTGGAGCCGCCCCATCATAGTCCCAATTTCCAAAGGAGGCTCACAATCGGAATGTGGCAGCCATAGAGGAATAAGTCTGATCTCCATCGCTTCCAAATTGCTTGCCTCTGTCATCCTTCACAGACTGACTGGCACCCGTGAAAGCCAGATTCACGAAGAGCAAGCTGGATTTCGTCGAGGTCGTGGCTGCATTGAGCACATCATCACCTTGCGTCGGTTTTTGGGGCACCGTCACATATATTGGCGGTACACCGTTGTCGTGTTCCTCGATATCAAAGGTGCATTCGATTCGGTGGATAGACATACACTTTGGGACTGTCTACTCAGGAAAGGTGTGCCTGAGAAATATGTGAATATTATCCGAGCATTATATGCGCGTAGCTCGGGCAGTGTGTGGGCTTATGGCAAGTTGTCTCGCCCTTGAATATCTCCAGCGGCGTGACACAAGGATGCCTGCTGTCACCTTTCATCTTCAACTTCGCTGTGGACGAAGTCATGGAAATCGCGTTCGCAGGAGACGATTTAGAAGGTGTGGAGCTACTCCCAGGAGAATGACTTCTTGATTTCGAGTATGCTGATGATATTGCCCTCATCTGTGAGAGTTCACAAACGTGCCAAGCGGCACTGGACAGATTAGCACTAGCTGTCCATCACTTCGGGCTTTGCTTCGCACCCTCGAAGTGCAAAACGTTTCTCCAAGTTTGGTCTGGACCGCCTCCTACGCTGACCCTTGGTGGGGATCAGCTAGAAGTCGTACAAAAATTCAACTACCTGGGAAGTTGTATCAGCTCCCGTGGAATTGATGATGAAATCACGAATCGTATAGCAAAAACTCGGTGCGCTTTTGCTAACCTTCGCCACTTATGGCGCGGGCGCGACATCACTCTCACCCTGAAGGGTAGAGTGTACAATGCAGCAGTACGTTCGACCCTATTGTACGGTTGTGAAACCTGGCCGCTTAAAGCAGCGGACCTGAAGAGGCTAGTTACGTTCGACCACCGGTGCCTTCGTAATTTAGCTCACATCTGGTGGGAACACCGCGTGAGCAAGGAGCGTGTTCGACGCCTTGTTTATGGCACAGGAAAAGGAAATGAACCGCTCAACACCGTTATTTCACGCATCAGGCTCCGATGGCTCGGTCACGTGTTACGCATGTCAGCCCACCGACTTCCGCGACGTGTGTTGTTTGCGCGCCGGGGATGTGGATGGAAGAAGAGGAGGGGAGGCCAAGCGAGGACGGTCCAGAGGAATGAAGATCCTCACTTCTGAGCTGGCCTCGGTTGGAGCGTCTCGGCTCAGTGATTGGGGTCCGAAAGACGATGAAAACGTTTGGTTGGACACACATGCTGATATGGCAAGGAGCCAACCTCAGTGCTGTGAGTTTCTTTGTCCAACCCCATCTCTTTTCGCCTCCCCCTCCAACCACCATCTCATTATTTGGCCTTATATAATCTTGCATAATAATTTTTGGGTGAACAGAAGCCGGCTGGTAGCTAACCGGAACGATGCCCATCCGTTACCGGTAGCTCAGCTGGCTTGCATCAGTTGCTTTTTTTCTCCTTTTTCTATGTATTGCGGCACAGTAGCTGAGGTGTTCCCCACCTCTAGCAAACGTGTATGATGATAATGATGACTGCTCCATCTCGCAAAGAAGCACTGGATACGGGAGTGAAAGCCATCAAAGGATTCTAGCCCATGGACTTCAAGCGCAGGGTGTTGTGGCACATGCGGCAGGGAGCACCACAACCAAGCCGGCTTGGTAATCCAGAAGCGTCGCCCCGATGGTCCTACATCTAAGAGACCATGAGTCAACAAAATTGCTAAGCATCATGAGCTTAGTTCATGGTAACTACGCAGCTTCCGATGCAATTTCCTAACCTTGGCTAATAATGCCGCAGATGTGGTACCTGTGCTAAATTGTTGCTGCTTTTGTTCTGTAGGTGTAAATGCGTGCTACCTTTCTTGCATTTTAGGCATTGGTTATTGATTGCTATTCCAGATGTGGCTTCGCTTGTGGTGATGGCTGATAATGTGTCTACTACTATAACCTAATCCGTCTCGATTAATGGGCCCAGTAAACTGCAATCGTTTCTGGTAAGGACGGTGTACACGGTCTCCGTGGCAGTACTAGGCTCAAATAGTGGTTCCATCCAGTGCAGCATAGACTACATCACAGACATTTCCTTGCGTACTTGTGGTCCACATGATTGTCAAATTAGACAGAGAAACGCTGCTCCTGTGTGTGCTGAGTGATTCTGCGCCGCCCGCGTAGTTGAAAAGTGGCCTCTATCCAAAGTCGGCTGGTCACATTCTTTAAATTGAATATATAGTGTATGGATGGAGCTGTAGGTGGGAGAGCGTAAGCCACCCATGGTTTCCATGTAACCGCACACGTTCTGTGGGTGTTCTTTGGAGGCCGCAGTGACAACTAAAGCCGGAACTTCTAACTGTATGCGCGTAACAAAATCAGAAAACCAAACTGGATCTACAAATGTATTGAGCTTCTGTGATTTTCCATTGATTGCTCATGTGTTAGATAGCAACATTTGGTTATCAAACATAAATAGGAAAATTTATTTGGGTAAAACACATATTGACCAATTTTAGCAACATGATAAAACGACCGTCGTTGCGGCATAACACAAATCAAAAAGGATATGCATACATTAAAAGCAATCTTGGTGGAGCAATGATACCTCGTCTTTTTACTTTGATTATAAAATCTACCAACAGGAGAAGGATGAATCTGTTTTAAACCTTAACATCTTTCCATTTGTTTTTGCTGCCTACATTACATTGATATATTCATTATCAGTTATGAACGGCAGTGTTCGGATGCTGAGCCACAAAACGCAGTTTTCTCTGTTGCATGAATTAACAAGGTGGAGATTAAATACGCGAGGGTAATTAGCCATTGATATCATCTTCTGATTTCTGTGTGGATATCAGAATTACCGATAGCATACGGAATAATTAAATTATTGGCGTTTGAACTGCTTAAGGATTTACATCCAGATTATTTTAATGTTTTTCATGATACTCGATTTCGTTTCTAAGTGTAACAGTCATTTATACTGTTGTGAATATCCCATTTAAAATCTCACAGTTATAAGCATGAATTTGTAATAATTTGCACCTGTTTTCGAGTTAGATCAAATTAATTTCAGTGAAAGATTTTTCGATATCTTTATTAAACGGACTATGCAAACTTACTGTGAAATTTTGGTATCAGAGGACTGCTCGGCATTCACTTGCACTTCTCTTGGATGCTGCGAAATGAGTGAATTCGACATTCTAGCAGTACTGGAAGATGTAGTGGTGGTGTCTTGGTCGAAGTGCACCTGGTCCGTTCATAATATATAAAGTGAAATAAAAATATGCACGACAGTGACAATTAAGGGAAACAAATGGTTAAAGTCGACCAAACTAATCTGCGTAGAACCACACAGCACGGTCAAAAATTTCACAAAGCTCTGTATATACAGTGGCAATATGTGAACAGTTAAGGCAGGTAACTAACGGAAGAAGCGGAGTATATCATGGATAATTTTATCTACCGCATATTACCGAAGATCGATAAGCCAGAGTATAAATTTGTAGCATTAAATTTTTCCAAAGTCGTAAGTCCTTTTATGAGCCAACCTATAAAATATAAGCAGATGTCAAACAAAATTTTGTCTTCACGAGTTTGGCGTCATGACTACAGCTCTCACTTTAGTGAGTTGAAGTGAAACTTGCTCTAATGTTCTTCATTTGTGGTGACCGTGATGTTTATAATCCCGGTATTCACCAGACGTCAAGTCACATGAAACAGTTTACAACCGACCATATAGGGTAAGGTGGGATTGTCTTAGTCGGGGGCCTCATGCACATGAAAAACTGTAAAGTGGGTGAGAGCGAAGTTCACAGTCAAGGGTGTGAGACGATGTACTTTTAGTTCAACGCAACGCGTGGCATAACATAATGTTTAAAGAACTTTGGTTCGCTACGGCCGTCCGTAGCGAATATGGAATGTGCAATATAGCGAGAATTTTTGATACAAAAGTAACGTGTCCAGTTATAAACACTTCAAATCCCCATCTAGAATAGCATTAATTACTAGCAGGTGGTGCTTAGGAGGATAATGTCAGCGGTATGCAGTGAATTCCTGGTAGGTTTTGCATGTGACCTCAAATTAATATAGCCATTTTATAAGCTAACCGCCCTATGCAACAACGAAAAATTGTCAAAAATCATCGGCCTGTGTTCGGTAATATACGGTATTATACAATTACCTTTCAGTAGCGAAAGACCAAGTTCTTGGGTGTGCATTATGCGGTGATTTACTCCAATTTTAACACATATAGCACTAACTTGGGCTCAAAAGTTTTACACGTTTGGCTAAACCTTGCTAAAATAGTATATACCAAAGTCACCATGTTCGGTAAACTTTTAACCTACACTAAAGGTCATCTCATGGCGTATTTTAATAAATTAATTGATAATTTGATTGGTTAAAAAATGTTTACAAACTCGTTTTGTATGGTGAAATGTAAAATTTACAATTAAATGTACGTGAGTTTGTTGTTGGTAAATCAGTATTTTATACATGATTGCTTTAGCATTGAACCGTAAATTCGGTTACGCTTCGATTAATCGAAATACCATTCTACAATATTTTGTTTTGAGACAGGTCTAAGTTCATGAAGCCAATGGGATTTTCGTAATGTGTTGCAGATATGCGACATCACAGCGACGGGCCAATGGACATGTTGACTGAAGTTGCTCAAAAACATACTAGCTCCCAGTTATCAAGCATGAGAATTTATAACGTAAGCCAAACTGAGCAAACCTACTCCTTCCAAAGGATCGTAGCGAATGGTCCCAACCGGATCGACAGGAAGGGAAAATATTGGTTGTAATTCCAAGTCAAACGTGAGTGCTTCTTTCTCGGGTATGTGATTGACTTGCACTACATCGGACTCTACGTTATAGATAAGGGAGAAGATTCAGGAGAATATATAGCTTGGTAATAGAAATGTCAAGATTTCTAAGTTTATTAGTAATATAGTGCAAGATGGGATAAAACGGAGCAGCTTTATAAGATCCACATTATAAAAATGCAAAAAATATCAAAGAGCCACAATGTGAAGCGTCTGTTAATAACAATCTAGCTGTATCATTTTATCATACCTACTTGTATCTTTGATCTGTTATTTGTGCGTCTAATAGTCTTCCAAAGATTTCAATGTCTGTTGTATTCACGACATATGCAAATATTGCAATCCTATGTGCAAGGCTTTTGAAGGAATAAATGAATCTTCTACAATCCAAGCGGTAGTGTTGGGCTAATAGTTGCAAATCATGCATCGATTGCAAGCAACTGGGGTAGTAATGATTTAGATAGATTATCAATCTCAGTCAATATTCGAAACATGAGGAAGAGATCACGCGAACTCGTCCGTATTCTGAGGAGATAAAACCAATTGAACTAAGGTGCAGTTCGCAACTAAGATCAAAGTATCCCCGAGTTTCCTGAGTGGATCTTCTTTGGGGCTGCTACTGGAGACAAGTTTCGTTATAATCAAGGAAGGCAGGCTTGAAGAGCATATTCATGGTAGGGACTGATACACGAATGGATCAAAGAGAGGTAGTAACTGCTGCACAAAAGTACCGTGGGGGCTCTGCTCAGAATTCGTTAGCTCAACGTTGTCACATTTGCTGCCCAATATCATTGGAGCCAATTATGTATACTAACTGGAACAATAAGCTCTAGTTCTCTTTCATTGATTAATTTCTGAAGAATGTTCTGCCCCAGTTGTTATGCGCAATTCAATTAGCTTTAGCAGGTGGCACTTTGCAGGATTTAGGGAGTGCATGCTCAGTTCTGCTCATTCATAAATTCTGTCCAGATCGTTTTGAGGAGAGTTACGGTCAAAGTTTGAGTGAGTAGCTTCCCTGAGCAAAGCACCTTCCGCAAATATTTGCAATGTAGATCGAATAGTTGCCAGGAAGTATTTGAGATAAAATAAAATCTGTAACAGGCCAAGAACGACTCCTCGGTGTGCACCACTGGAGAGTTACGGAATATCGAAGTGTGTCCCAGCATTTCCTACTGTCTCCTTTCCAACCAAGTGGACAAATTCAGTTATCCCATAGCCATTGCGCATTGGGAGGTCTGAATGATGGGCTATGACAAATTCTTTGGAAAATTGGTTAACAAGTAAGAATTAAATTGTCTCCTTCCTTGGTTACTGTGGTCCATGAGCCACGAACCATAAGCTAGTTTGTCAAATAAGATAGACTAAATCTGAAAGCATGCTGACATTTGCAAATGCATTAAAAGCATTCAAAATACCTCGTCAGTGCGTCTGTGATTGTCCATTCTATAATATCTGATAAAACAGTGATCGGAGTATACAACCTTTAACTAATTTGCACATAATAGTGAGAACATTGTTTTCCCCTCAGATGCCAGTGCATGCGGTTCAAGAGAACTATGGTAATAGGCTACAAGTGGTAGTTCTATGATGCTGTCTGGATTTTAAAGAATTATTGGACAATTTCCGAGTATTTTATCTCTACGGGACTTCACTTTTCTTGTACACCAATTAGGTTAAAGTTAACGCTGTATAGAAAGATGAAATTGTCTGGGAGGTTATGGAGAAGTGTCTGATGCTTTTGTAGCCACTGAGTCCAATTTTATGAGTGGGGAGTTCATAGTTTCAAGAGCGTTTGGCATTGAATCACTGTTTGCTTAAAGTAATGATATTCCTGTTATAACCTTTCAGGTCTCGTTCACATAATGCACATCCATTTGATGGTAGTTGTAAATTTCAGTACCATAGGCTCCCGGAATCGTATTTTAAATAATTAGATATTTATAATTTCCTACAAAGGCATAAAGGGTATATTTCTCGGAATTGCGAGAAGCTGATCCAATATACTACAGATGTTTTATGCTCACGTACTGTGTTAAATAAGTGTATCGGCTCTGATGAAGACGTGCGGTAACTTCTGAATGATTTTTATTTGCTTTATATGATGACACAAGGGTTTCACACGTGCCACATAGAAATTGCATCACTTCTGATGAATCATTTACATGTTGTTTTCCGGTTTTACTTCATTTGCGGCTGCTTGGATGACGTTGTTGATTTTAGCTATTAATTCATTCCATGCGTCTTTAGAGGATATTGCAGCGGGAGTTAGCAGTAAACGGGGTGCGCTATGTTTTAATGCATGGAGTTTTCTTTCTTAGTGAACCAAGATTCTCGTATTTTATTAATGATGCTTCGGTAACACATATGGACAAATATTAGGACTGGGTGATAACATGAATCTAGTGGACAGTCATATGCAATTAACCCTCACATTAAGGCCTCGTTGTTCAGGATTAAGTAAAGCGCTGATGGTTTATTTGGACCTCGGTATCTATAGGGCGATCCAAGCGGTGATGCAATACCGCCATACATATGAAACTCAGGAATTGTTTTATTGAACGGCCTAATGCCGGACGCAAATATCACTGCATGTACAATGAAATCACCAATTTTATGTTATTTTGCATATTTTGGAAACAGCGCGTGGGATATCGTTCGAAAAAATAGCAGGTCTGTCTTAGAATTGCTCGAAGTCCTTTACACAACAGCCAAAAGGCAAACATTATATGGTTTCCTTTGAGATCCATTGTTACGTCCTGTTGGTTGCAGTTGGAAAAATGGGACGTCGAGCAAACAAATTAACGCATGGTAATGGTCTATAATTTGAGGTAATAATGATGGTAGACAGCAACATCGATACTGCAAGCAACAAACATTTTCCGCTTTCTGCTGTAAAGGTTTTATAAACAGATTCTACATGAATAATAAATGATGTTTCAAATCTGAAAACCGTTTTATTCTGCATTCTCTAGTTCTTATGTATTTTGATAATATATTAATAAAAATGTAGCCAACGAAATAGCTACTAAATTCTCTTAATTTAAATTTTAGTACGGGTATCGTATATTACGACTATCAAAGATTTCACAACCTAATAGGCAAAGTAAAAATTGTGGTGCAGTTAAACGGCAGTTAATAAAAAATAGATTGGACTATTATATTATCCGTTATTTTATCCCCTGTAGCTCAGTGGTCTCAACTGCGGACTGGCCACAGTCGAGTTGCTGGTTCGAGCCCTACCAGGGTCAGATAGAACGTGCACTGCTGACCTTATGACTAAGCTTTAGTCAATGACCTAGTGTATTCTTAAAAATAGATTAGTTACATTGGAGTTCGCTACTCAAGCTCTTCCAATTTCTCCGAACCATTACGTCATGTCACAGCCAAAGCGAGATATATCATAGCACGTATTTTCAATACGGTACGTTTAACAGAAACTAGGCTAGCTATGAATAAAGCATATGCGCGTCCAGTCTTAGAGCATTGCCCATTAGTATTCATAAATTTAAAAATGCACGACAAAACAAACATTGAAAAATACAACATTTTTTACCAAACGGTTACTAGGATATGGATACTTGAATTATCAACAGCGGTGTAAACTGCCTAAGATAGAACCAATATGGTTGAGAAGAATTAATATTAATCTTGCCTTCCTGTTTGATTTAGCGCATATCAGTTCTGGGGAGCCAGGTACTGTCCAGTTTGGCACCTGTCATCAATATCCAACTAAAAATACAGCATACAGCCTTCGCATCCCTGAAGTGCGTACAACCTTGTGTGTCAAATTTTGCTCATAAGGTATACAACTTTATGGAATAAGCTGCCGGAATCCATTAGATGCATCAAAACTAAGCAAATATTTCGGGCTCAAGTATTCAAAGAACGTAGCTATGTTGACGTTCTTTAGGCTACGTGAAAAATGCGACCTAAATAGACGTCAACTGTTTCCTAATTCCTTAGACGTACTTAGATTAACTTGATCTAATTTACAGAAGACAAAGAGTTCTTGTTTTGCAATGATATTCCAGGTATCTTGTTGCATTGGATTGACTCTAAGGATCCACTCGAAAGGAGATTATTTATAAACAGTTTAAACCAAAGTTCCAAACTTGCTGTATTGCATAATGTGTATAGAGCAGTTCTAGCGGGTTACTCAGTGATTTAAGAGAGCACAACATAAAAAATATTCATTGAAATTCAAACGTTATGAAGACAACTAAACCATTTGTGTTGATTAGAAAATGTTGAGTTTCCTTTTTGCTAATCAGACAGATTACATAAATTTCCCATGTTACATCTGCTTTTGATGCGTTTGAGCCCACGAAAATCATTGGGCAAAGGGGGATTGGCCAATACGTACAGCGAAGCCGGCAGGTGAAACCCTGTGAATAATACAATCGTCAGATAACCATTTCTAGATAACCATTCTAGTTGATAGTCATTCACTGGGTAACATCGTCTTGTTCGTGTATACGCTCACAAGTATGTGAATCCTCGGAAAACAGATAAAATTTATGAATACAAAGGACACATTTTAGATTCATTCACCATGTCAATTGCCACATCATAATATTTCTATTGAAATATTAGGCTTTCTCGTTTCAAATCGGAGGAACGTTGTAAAGGAAGTTTATTCTGTGAAGCATTTATTATGTTAGAGAAATGGATAAAAGTATTACCTCTACTTCCTTTTTTAATATAATCTCAGGTGGGTATTCCAGTTTCTGCAGCTAATACGAACGTTTTTCCCCCAAAAAGGAAAAGTTTACCTTTATCAACCTAAGTTTGCTCTAAACACCGTGGATTCTACAGCAATTATCAAAGTGTTCTTACAATTAATGCGCTCTGACATAGTAATTTAGCTGAAAATTTTGTCTTTAATCTATGGAATTAATTTCGCATTTTCCAACTACATAAAAATAGTGCAGAAGTATATTAAATTTGAAAGTAGGGAATTTCAATATATTTAATTTGCACAAACAAGATTTACACTATTTTCCGCACTTAATTTTAAAGTTTAAAGGATTATTTTTCTTTTAAAAAATAACGAGATTGTTAATTTTATAGGTTGGGAAATACGTTAAGCTTACTATCTCATTGCGTTGTTTGCAAGTCATTAATTATTGTTGTTACAAGTGATACCACAGCATTTGTCTACTTTCCTTATAGTATATTGTCATGTTGCCACTAATAACAACATACCATTGACGGTGAAAAGCTTCGCTACCGCAAGAACAGCGCAGCTCTTAAACCTCATCAATATATGCGGCTAATAACGGACCATTACGCTAAGTTTAAATATGTGTACGTATTCACTAACGAGCGAAGCGGGGTTCTAATGCTGCAAGCAGCACCGGTTTCTTGCGGTACATCTCCGAGAATTTCTATCACCAGTTGTGACAAGTCGAAAGATGCAAATTGAAAACAACCCGTACTGAGCGTACCATGTTCCAGTTCCGCAGAATCAAAGTTATCTATAAGAGGCAGACAACTAAATGACCTCCATCATTGGGCGCCGTTGACAACCTAAGCAGATTTTGTCAAATCCTGTACCATTTAGTGCAAATTACGCGACACCCCAACTCTGGGCATTTGGGAAAGCCAAGACTTCTACGAGTAGAGCTGATCTTGATCACTAAAGTATTATCAATTCTAAAGTCGACAGGTAGACTAAAAAGTGAGCACTGCTCCATCCGTACCTGTTTAGACATTCCAAGGGGCGAGCGTTATTGAGTTAACCACAACTTAGAGGACTACCGGAAGGTCTCTATAACCAGAACCATACTTATTCACTGGGTTCCTGAAACTGAAGCAAGCAAGAAGAATAAAAGAAGAACCCATAATTAAGAACAATGGTGTTTTACTCATGAATCACCGCCAGGATGGTGTGCTAGTGAAATTTGTCAAGGATGTGTACCGCAACGAACTACAAAGGATGTGGCCCGAGAGTGTTGAAGGTGATCCCATATTCAAAACATTAGGTAGCACGGCAGCTATCAAGCTCATACATGTTTCGCTGCAAGCTGACATCTAAGCTTCGGCTGAAGTCAGTTAGCCATATGCCCCTTAGAAATGATACATCACTCAACGAAACCAATTCGAGGGAAACTATTAAAGAACAAAGCACCAATAATGCGTGTAATTTTGCGTATACAGATTGTTAAAAAGTGAGTGAACAGACAACTTATGCTGTATCTAGAGGATTAGATACGCAGACAATAAAGTAGAAGTCAAATCCTTCACCAACTACCCAAAGGAAAAATGATTAGTTGCCGGCCACTTAATGTTCGACGATACTTCACGTATAATTTGCATCGTCTCTAACATATTGTTGGAACCTGTGAAATTTTCATGTATGTGAACTAACGCTTGAGGTTTCCTCAGTAGACCTGCTGAACTTCGGCTGCATCAGGTTGCGAATCCTTGGGAACCAATCTAATTTACTGGAAGTTAGTTTCACCAAGTAGTGGATGATGATGAGATAGCAGGAATATCACCCATTCGGATCGACCACCCCAACAAAGGAGGTGGGTCCTCCTCTACAACCGCAGCGACATGCAGTGTGCAACAGTTGATTATCTGGAAATGCATGTAACTGGCTCACTTTAGGGCCGTGTCCGACTAAGGCACAAGGACGCATATCTCGTAGCTGACGTTTACCGTCTCGCAACTTTCACTCCGGGAACGGATTCCTGCTTGATACTTGCCTTTAACGGGGTAACACACATTAGGGACAGCCAGATTCTCAACTTCGCGGATTTTAACCTTGAGAGAAGCTGCGTGTTAATCGCTCACTTGTGCACTCGTTGTTTTTTAACTGCGGTACAGCGACATTTTGTCGCTTTTACAAGCTCTACTTTGTAATATCAGTTTCCCGAGTATACTCCAGTGCATCCTACATTTACCCTGATTTCTAACTTCCGCGCAGTGTTTCGCCGATATCCAAGCGCCAAAAGTTGCCTTACTCCAATCATCGGAGATATTGTTTGGTCTCACTCGATAGATCATTTTAACGGCTTTCGAACGAACTGCCACTCGTTCAAATCCAACATTACTTGGTGCAGCTAAGGTCTCAAAGCAAATTCACCCGGCGCGATCCATAGGCTTAAACACGAAAAGTCTCAATCACACCTACGTGTATCCTGCCCCACGTTCAATCGGTCATATTCGACTGGCACGCCAGAGAGGAGTGTCTACAAGCACACAACTGCGACGTCAACACTGTGACCTTACCGACAACGCCAATAACAGGATGACATTTGGCCATAGAGGGTGTCATTCAAATGGTTCTTAACATTTGCTCAACAAGCGTGATGCCCATTGCGCCACCGACCTGTGTGGGTCATGTTCCAAACTTGTTACTGAGGGAGGGGCATTTTGTGCCTTAACTGTTGCAAGTTCTTCTATGCGAGATGCCTACGAGTTAAACCTTGTCAGGCCAAGTTAGTAAACAAACCAGACTCGCTATGGTTCTGTGTGGAATGCACATCGATCCCACTGATAAAAAGCGTGCTCCTACTATCTCAGAAGTATGACCAGCTACCAGAGAAGTTTGAGGAACTGGTAACCACCAAAATCACTGGGGTTGGGGTAAGCATAGCGGACTGTGCAACCCCATCCTCACCCTTGGTTGCTGCTCCTAACCTGCGAAGAACTGTCAATAACACCATAAGCAACACTACATCTTGAGTCCAGAACATCAACAGTTGTCCCGAAACCACACGTAGCTCACATTTGACAAAATCGGCTTCCAGTACGATCGGAGTAAGTACACGTAAAGCTACTTCCCAACTCCCGACGGAGTGCGTAGAAAACGAGCAAGCTGGTAGGAGCAAAAGTTGGGTTACGGTTGCCTCCACGAAGAGCCGTCCTTTAAAATTAATTCCACCCAAAACTGGATGGGAAACTGAGGAGCGTAGCGGAGTTTTCCTAGTGTAAGCACCACCGGCTTCCTGCGGTACATCTCCGAGTACTTCAATCACTAACCACATGTCGAATAGTGTAAAGAAACAACTACCGGTACTGAGCGTAATGTGCTCCAATATCCCAGAATCAAAGTCGACATCAATAAGAGGCAGGCAGTTGGATGACGTCAACCACTGGGATACTATTAGTAACCAAATCAGATTTGTACTGAATACTGTACACGTAGTGCGTATTACATGACACCCAAACTCTAAATATTTCGGAGAGCCAACAATTCGGCGCCTTGTGCTGAACTCCATCACTGAAGTATAATTAATACTACTGTCGAAAGGTAGTCTCAGAAATGAAAGCTGCTTCATCCGAATTTTCCCAGACGTTCCATGGGGCGAGCGTTATCGAGTTAACCGCAAATTAGAGGACTACCGGAAGGAAACATCAACCAGAACCATACTTCTTCACCGGGTTCCTGAAAATGAAGCATGTGATGAGCATGAAGTAACAACCCATGATAAAGAGCAGTGGTGTTATCATTGTGAAACACTTTGCATGGATGATGTGTAAGCGAAATCCGTGTCACGACTGCGTACCTCACCTAATTACAAAGGAAGTGGCCCGAGAGTGTTGAAGATTGTTCTTCAGTCAAAACATATGGAAGCAAGGATGCTAAAAGGCTGGTACATGTTTCGTTGCAGGCTACCATTTGAGGTTCGGCTGAATTCAATCAGCGATATGCATCCTAGAGTTGATATGTCAATAAAAGAATCAAACGCGTTTGGATTTATGAAAGAACAGTGCACCAGTAGTTTGCAGAATGAGCCATACAATCTGCAGCAAATATTAACCAGACACCTTACAATGTACGTCGAAGATTAGACAGGGGACTAACTAAACGGACGATGAATAAGACGTTAAACCTTTCACAAAGTGCACATCAAAAAAAACGATTAGTCGCTGGACACTCACTGGTCGGCGAAAATCCACGTATGAGTTGTACAACCCCGAAACATTAGTTAAATCTGAGAAACGTTCATATATGTACACTAAAGCCCACTAAAGCTCAGTTAAATTACCGAAATTCGACTACGTCAGGTTGCGAATGCTTGGGACCTTATTTCTATTACCGAAAATTGGTTACACCAAGAGGTGACTGATATTGAAGTTGAGATAGCCGGAATGTCACTCATCCGGAATGACCGCCCTAGCAGAGGAGGTCGGGTCCTACTCTACAACAGCAGCGATGTACAACGTACAATAGTTGATGATCTGGAAACACGTTACCGATGCAACCCGGTGTCGTCTCCGACTAGGACACAACGACCCATGTCTCGTAGCTATCGTTGACCGCCCAAATGTCCACTACGGAAATGGATTCCTGCTTGATCCGTGGCCTAAACAGAGTAACACGCACTAGGTACAGCTACATTCTCATCTCCGGGAACTTCAATCTACACAAATCGGAGGTTTTGACATGGCCCAGTGAGCAGTTCCAAGCAGACTTACATGAACTAACCGCTAATATTCCTTTGTACATTCATCTCACCATGCCCACTAGATTCAGGGCGGCAAACAAATCGTCCATATTGGACCTTGCGCTCACGAATGAAGAGCTCAAGTATGACAACTTATTGATGGTTAGTCCATTAGGTCTCAGTGACCATGTAGTAATAACGTTTAACGATGCGTGTTATGCAGAGCATTTATCTGAACACTCGAAACTAACTCATAAAATCACACGATACCACGTATTAAAAGAACTCGCCGACGCAGCTGCTTGGGAATTCTCAAACATAATTCCCCTTGACAACGTTTGGGCAGTGTACGTTAATAGACTCAGCGGCATCGTCAACAAATCATCAGAGATCAAGCCCCTTCGCCCCGCAAAATTGCCTTCAATTCTAAAGAGCAGGACTCGAAAATGCGTAGCGATATGGGATGCAGCATGGCATGCTTACAAGATTTACCCTGACGCAGAGGCATGGGGGAATTACCTGACCCATCGCAACCATTGCACTGCACTTTTCCTTGAGGACAAAGTAACTTATCAACAGAGCCTAGTCAAAATATTCATGGCAAACAGCAAACTGCTATATAAGCATGCCAATAAGCTTCATAAATGGAAGCATGGAATCCCTCCCATTTTCACGACAGGCGGTAGAGTACAAAGTACCGAAGAAGCAGCTAATGCCCTGCGGCTACAATATGCCCCAATTTTTGAACTCGCAAACACTACCTCTTTCATAATGTCATGCACACTACCGACACCTTTGTTTACAAATGTAATTTTCAGCCCATCTATTGTGCTAATGAAGTTACTCTCACTTCATGAGCGTA